AAGCAGATTAATTTAGGAGATCAAGAACACTCTTTACAGTAACTAAGACCCCAGTAAGCTTTCCTCACAATAACACGGGAAAAGAAGAATCTTTAAAGGAAAAACCAGTAATTGAATCTGAACCCTGTTTAAAGACAGAGCCAGAACTACAGGTAGGGAATATTTTGAACTTACACTGCCAAATTTGCTGAGGTGGAAGAAAATTTTGACAGGAAATTGTGTTTATAAAACTCTTTAGGTTTTAACAGCATCCTTTTTTGGCATACCTGTTTGGCCACACCTGTTTGGCCACACATTCTGGTTCTCATGTAAGAATATGTTAATAGTTTGTTAATTGTTTGTTAATAATAAGGTAATACCTGTACACATGTTTTTCATATTGAAGAACTGTTATTTCAATACTTTTTTTACTATTCATGGCTGCACATTTTTGCATTTTAACCTAAACRTACTCTGCATTGTATTTTAATGCAAATATCTTATGGTTTTCTAAAGGCTAGCTCTGTGAGCAATAAGAGTGACAGGAAAGAGATGTGCAATGGGTCAGAAATTCAGGTCACATTAGCATAACTACACAGAATATGAAGTTATTGAACAGCACAACAAACAACAACATGATCTTCTCCTCAACTAAAATTAGTGGACTAATTAGGTTCACTGATTTTTTTGTAACTTTTGGTAGTGGAAGAAACCACTGGAGAATTAAAAAAAAAAAAAAAAAAAAAAAAAAAAAAAAAAAAAAAAAAAAAAGAAAAAGAGATCTTGACAAAAAAGACAAATCAACTCTCAGAGAGACAGAGCTGCCGCCTCTCAGGTTTATCAATTTTTTTAACCAACCAAAGACCTTTGTAACCAGGGCATACAATGGACTGAATGTTATTGGTTCTGTCAAAAGATGCAGCTGAAAAAAAGTTTTAAAATTCGAATGCATACAGTATCTGAAGGAATCTGAATTGAAATTAGTGCTAAAAGATGCTGAAATTTTTGATATTTGTGTCCTACTGATTAGCATGGCAAGCATGAAATCAAAGTTTGCATAAGATAATAAAAGCCAAAGAGTGGAATAATACAATTTCACACACATGGAATATTGCATGAAGCACAACATGCCAGTTATGTGGTAACACAGACAGAGCAGGTGTGACTGAATTCCCCACAGGCAAAAATATAAAAGCCTCTAGTGAAACATGTCATTGACGAAAAGTCAGCAAGTCATATCTACCAAAACCTATAAATTTAGGGTAGTTAAAAACTGTTTCTAATACATTGCATTTGTCAGAAGTTTTGTAAATTATATTGGGATCCTTAGTTTGGAGTCAAAAGCACTCTTTCAGCTTATGTTCCTATATGCAAAATTTTAAATATATACTTATGCATTTTCATCTATAGATATTCAAATTACATTTATACCTATTCCTTGTTTAGGCTCTGACTCCTCTCATCTTTGAACTTTTTCATACTGAATTAACCTTGCTAGATGGTTGTGAATGGAAATACACCCGAGCTCCAAGCTATTTGTCTAGGAGAGATGGAAGGATCAGGAAAGATGAAGGATTTTTCTTTTAAACAGTAAGCAAAATTCAGCAGCTCGTGTTGGACGAACAGTCTGATTAGAGCTGAAAACCAGCAAGGAAAATATCAGCCACCTGTTCCCTTTCTGGAATAGTTTACCTGTAGAGACTCCACTAGAATACATCTATAAAATATAAGACAGGCTCCAAGGAACCGTCAGGTAATTGAGACATTCCTCATTCTGCCTGATATCTATAAGAAAGCTGCTAACTACTGCTGTAAGCAAACCTGCCAAATGCAAGTACAGTGGGACATTGCCCCAGACATGCTACTAGACTGAACCATCCAGCTTACAGGACAGCAGGCTGAAGAAAACTACCCTTTTTTTTTTTTTTTCCCTTCTCATTTCTCCCAAACAATGGAAAGCTTTCTCTTTAAAAAGTTACAAATTAGAATTGCTTTGCTGATGATAAGCTCTGGCTTTTGTTGAGCAAACCATAAGCCAGGAGTTCCTGTATTTTTTTCCAGACATGATCCCTGGAGACTAGTGCTGTTCTTGCTTCTGCAGCAGTCACTGTTCCTGCTGCTAGAGTAATTCCCACAGCTTCAGCGTCTTGCTAAATGCCAGTTTTCTGGAACTGGCTTGAATCCAACAGCTGACGCCTTGCACATGGGTTTGCTACATACAGTGCTGATGCTAAAAAGGTCTTATGCCCTGCTCAGAGGCTCCAATTTCTGTGTGTTGGATTACACCTCTCTCCCTTGACTGTGAATGGAAAATGTTTGCAATATTTAAGAAAACCAACCTGAGGGATCTACAATGTGGTCTAATAAAAATGCCMATTTATTCTTTTTCCAAGTGCTGTTCCTGTTTTTCACCTGTTCTGACACTAGGTGTTTGCAAGGCACTGAGCCTTTTGTTTCATTCCTTAAGTTTTCTGCTCTTGACATGTTTGCACTGGGCTGAGAGCTGGGGCACAGCAAAGTTGTGGCCCTCAGCTTCTATTGGCTTCATCCCTTTAATGCAGCTCTTTTAAGTTGCCTCCCAATATTTCAGGAGGACAAATGCCTCTTGGAGGGGGCCCAGGTTGTGACCCCTGTGCCAAATTATTTGTTCTACTGCACACTAATTAAAAAAAAAAAGAAGTTGGTCAAGTGTGCAAACACAGCTTAATGAAAATAGTGTGCACTTTTTGCAATCACAATATCTTCTTAGAATATTTTCTGCTCTTCCTCTTGTTAAAAATGCATTTGAAAGTAGTTCTTATTCATTGCAATATTTTTTTTTTACTGCTGCCAATTACTGTTTGGATTACTAACCTCTTGGGTCTCACATGAAACTGCTCAACAGGTGAATACAGTATTCCACAGACCTTCTCAACAAAAAAATAATATTGCTGCATAGTGAGAGAACTTGTGATGTAGCCACTTGGAAATGAAGTGAATTAAGCCAAGGCAAATACAAATTCTGTCCCTCCTGCTCTCTGTGGGTACCAATTCTACAGAGGTCTGAGATTTCCCCACTGATTCAGCTCTTCTTTTGTGAGTTTGGTAATTGATCCTTACAAATTTAAGATCCCCAAAATTTGGAATATCTCTTCCATTAGAGAATTCAAGCTCCAGCATGTACACTTAAATCAAAGGCAAATTATCAATCATTTAGAGCAGCAATGATGCATCTTTTTTGTCTGATATTAATATTTCGTGTAACACTCTTCACAGCAGTCACAATAATAGCACCAATTTGTCTCTTTGAATCCAAAATCTGCAGTAACAAAATAATAATTTCAACAAACAAAAGATAAAACTTTCAAAAGTTGCAAGCCATATCCACCCAGGTAATTAAAATGAGCTCACAGGCAGTGAAAAAACCAGTACACTCACTGAATTAATAACCAGTCCCACAAATGTCTGCATATTTTATGAGTTGCAGATGTGCATTTATACTTTAAACATAGCCACATTAAAGTATGACATGGTTGTCATATACTTGCTCTGTTTTCATGACAAAAACAGTTCTACAGAAAAACAGAGGACTTCTTTAAAAGCAATTATAAAAAGCATCTTGAGACACCCTTACATATTTTATGATACTGTACATGCAAAACAATGCTTTAATTATAGTAACCCATTCAGATACATACTGCAAGAAAAGCTGTTTTTATTGYTCATCTAAACGTTTTTAAAAAGATAACCGCAAAAAAATTTTACTTCAAGAACATGTGTAAAAGCATGGCATAACGTTTAGATGTCATTGAGATTAGCAAAAGAAACTGCTTCGGATGCAGTTTAAGTCTTAGATGGCTGTTATAACTTCGAACAGAGTTCTCAAAATAGTGCCCAAATGCCCAGTGCTTGTTGAACAAATTCTGATTTATTGAAGGTAAACATTTACATTGGCTACAATGCTATAGCTGTTACAAAGCTGAATAAAAGAGGCTTAAATAGCAATAGAAAGCAAGTGCAGTAAAAAGTGAATAGAGAAAATATTTGGCCTTAGTGATCTTCTGGCAGTATTTACATTATCTCCATTTTGTTAAATATTTGAGTAACTCTAAGGCACCATAGGCTAAATAGCAGGCTGCAGTATGATTTTGTGCACAGAATTTAATAAATTTATTTGGAGAAAAAAAGGCTATGGAGTTAAAAGAAACATTGGCATATTTTACGTTTACATAAAGGAGTGGCTGTTTGTTAAAATTCAAAGATACAGTATATACTGGGTAAGTTCAAAAATTATTTTTAGAACRTTAAATTAAATGTCTAAGGACTATTTTTACTGACTTTTTGATAAATGTTTAATGCAATCTTTTCAACAAGTTTTCAACACAGTAGATATGTTCATCTAAAAACTAATTTCTTTTCCCTTTACAAAAGCCTTATGCCTAGTACATATACAAAATCCCAATGCAAAGTGTAATGGGCAGTAATTTACACTGTAGCTGTTCTGTGGCAGACTGAAACTTAGCAGGAGCATGCAATCAAAATGCTATGGAACAGCAGCTGTTTTATTCCCTCGCCTCTTGTCAGTGCTGCTGCAGCCTGTGAGCAGGAGTACAATACTGACATGCCAGGATAGACAGAAGAGGTCAGTGCTTTCAGACCTGTTTCCAAACACAAATCGGGAAATTCAAACTCCTGGCGACATCCTTGTGCATTTGACACAACACCGTGCWCACAGAACGACGCTCTGCTTGGAGCAAATTTTCCCATTTTTATTTATCCCCTTTTATTTATCCCCTTTATTTATCCCCTTCTAAAGCACAGGTCCCTCCACTCCTGAGTGGAATTTACTAAAGGAATAAATTCATCTGACTGGATTCAAGATCCTTTCTGTATGATTTGTGGTGCTTCACAGAATCATAACTGCTCTACAAACAACAGACCTTGCTCGGTTTAGTCAACATGATCATCCTTCACCTTGAGGTGGTGTTTGTAATGAAGAAACTGCACAGATTTACACCTCTTTTGGAAAAAAAAAAAAAAAACCACCACAGGATGCTGTGTGCCTCAGGGGAGAAGAGAATGGGTGGCTAGGGCCATTCCAGCTGCAGCAGCGCTGCCAGCAGAGGCTGCACATGGTGAGCCATGGCTCATATTTTTCGTATCTCTTTCATTTCCCAGAGCCAAGAAAAAAATCTATCTAAATTAATATAATTCTTAAGTAGTTAGATATTACTTTTGCATTTGCTCAGGATTTGGGGGGTTTTTAGTCTCCTCCCAAATCATKAATCTCAGTTGTCCCCTTTTTTTCTACTTTGCATTCATCCTGTTTGGAATTATGCTAATTATTTCCACAGCAGTAAGTAATTTATACGCAAAATATAATTGATCTATGAACAAAGTCTTCATTTGGAGAGACTTTATATTTGTATTAACAAAAGCATACCGTTAGCATAATTCATCATATGCATTTTTAGTACCAACAGCTATTATGTTAAAATCATTCAGCATCATTAAGAGTTTTTCAAGGGCTGTAGAGGAAAAAACTAAGCCTAAAAAATTCCAGTGTCATTGACTAGTTCCTGTAAAACATTAACTAAAATATTACACAACCTGGTCATTTTATGGTAAGTAACAGGAAGTCAAAGATTCAGGTTATCAAAACAGTGTAGCACTGTTAAAGAAAACAGGGCTATGATGCCTGTCATAGAAAAAGGTACCTCAAATTGCTCAATTTAGCCCTTGAATGAGAAATATTTGCCTGAATCTCAAGATTTAAAAGCATCTTTCTGGATTCCTTTCTCAATGTTTAAGATACTCAGCAGTATAAATATAGCAATTCATAACTAGGGTGCAACATTAAAGTACTACCATAATTTTTCTGTCAAACCTTTCCACCATGAGGAGGGCTTGCATTCTGTTGTAGGATACAAGAAGTTAGTAAGTTATTAATCAAGAACTCCCTTTGTTGCTCCCTGTTGRGTACGGAGACAGCAATGACTTCACAGAAATCTCTACCAAGCGACATGGCRGAGCTTGGGGCTCCACTTTATTTGATTAAAAGACATCTGTGGAAAGCCTACATCTTTACAGCAGGAATTACAATGATTGCTTTATCACCAATATGTGGGTGAGGTAACAGATGATGGAAAATTCAAGGGCTTTGGGCATAACACAGGATCTTGCACAAATGACCCTGGGTTTTTATTTTTCATTCCCTGGAATCCATGTTAATGTAAGTTATTTGGAAGCATTTGGCAACATGCAACTTCCAACTTTGCATGAAACCCCAAAGCACAAATCCTTTGAAGAAAATCTCATCCTAAGGCTTTTTCATTCCAGTTCTTGGTGATAAAAATCTTTGTTTCAGCTTTGAAGCTTACTATATAAAGATTATTTATTTTTGAGTAAAAGATCCCAAATGAACATTCCTCCTTCCCCTCACCTTTTAAAAACAATGAGAACTAATACTTTGTTAAATGGCTTGAAGAGTCACATTCATCTGCAAATAGTACAAAGCCTTAGAAGTTTCTCATTAATACACTGGCTAAAGAAAAAGGCAACTGAGTTTCTGGTGAGAGAATTTGGTTATAGTTCAATTGTTGTTCACGTGTGACACTGGGCTTGTGTATTTGCACTGTACCATAGACACTGACTCCTTTTCAGGTGGCCTAGTGGCCCTGGGCACGGTGCTGTCCCGTATTGTCATGGGCTGCATATTCCTATGCTGCAGCTTGGTTCTCCCAGTCCCTTTTCCTGCTATGCACTGTGTGGGACCAGAGCAGCTAATGCCTTTTTTAATCCCTTCAGAACTACCTTTCCTCCTGAAAGATTTTGCCCTTTTCCACTGGTTTGTAATGCCTGTGCTTATCACATTCTACCTTTTACCCTCGAGCATCATCCTTCTCCTCCATTAAGTCAATCACCTCAGCACGCCCTGAGACAGGTACTTTATAATAGCAAGGCCTCCATATAATGTGGACCCTTGCCTTCCCCTACACCTCCCCCCACAACAATGGATGTGGCTCATCCATTTAAAACAAACCTCTGAGCAGCCTTAAAATTTGGCAGCAATGTATTTTTTCTCTTCCCTTTTCTGGGGTTACACTTATGATGGCACCACGCATGACCAGTATCACGACCCCKCAATGCAAACAAAGGTTGACTCATTACCTACATTTCAGACTCATTCAAGGGTTTAGTTCATGACCCTGCTGTAGCTTGAGGGGATGTGGAAGATGTTACTTGGCTTCTCCAATTCACTCACGGTCATCTCTCTTTTCTCCTAGTTTTTTTGGAAGAAGCATCCCAGAGTGGTGGACTATCAGCCCAGCAAATAATCACAGGACATCTTTGTGAACTTGCTTCCCAGTTTCCTTTTGCTAGGCAAAATACAGTGATTCAGATACATATGGCAGGACCATTACACAGAGATGGTCATGCCAGGGTTTCAGCCTCACTTCTGAACAATGCTGAATTTGTGCAGTCACATAACCTATGGAAATCTTTATGCAGACAAATTTCAGGAAAACTCTTTGTTTCAAGAAGTTAGCCTGCATTCCAACACAAAAGATAACAATTACAGTAGTGATTCTCAGTTTAGGGGTCCACCAAATGAGGGTGCAAGTCAACAGATCTAATAGCAAAATAGGGATTTGCAAAGAGAATTGGCTTTACAAGTCTGACTATGAACCCAGAAAAAACTAAAGTTTCCAGCAAATGGAATGCTAAAATATAACTGCATGTATATTCTCCTAGGCATTTTACTTTTAGGGCACTTCAGTGCAACAAGTAATACAGGAGTCTAGCTTGAACTAGAAAGCAGGAATCACCCAGTACAGCATACCTTATTCAGTTCTGTTTAAAAGAAACAAACACACCTGTGCTCTGTTGTGCTGTTATTGGTGCTTTAGTATCTTTATTATGAAAGTAACATAAGAGAGAATTCATTCTATTTTTGCTTTCTGAGGTGGCTTGTAGTACTTGCACACATGGATAAGTTGAACTGCTCTCCATATTCAAGGGTGTGATTGATGCTTCAGCGTAGCTACCATGAGGGCTGCCAAGGGCATTCATCAGGGCACAGGGTATGCTTTATGCCTTGGAGACTGGACCCTTCTCTATCTGTGTTGCCATCATAYGCACTCGGAAAAAACAGTTGATAATTTAAAAGACAGAGATATTTAAATTGATATCTTATCACTTAGAAATTAATTAATAAAACTATTTCACCAAGACACAATCAGTAGAATTTTGCATTTGTATATATTTTCTGATGCACCAACAATCAACTCAACCATGTAAAAGCCTTAACTCAGCATATAGTTTAAAATATGTGGATAAATTTAATCACAGAGCAGTTTCACTGAAGTTAGATGCAAACATTAAAAAACCTTATTGATCTAATGAAATTGTAAAATCTAGTATATAAAAATGAAAAATCTAAAAAGGAAATTAACAGCTTCAGGACTTTCAGGTGTTTTCTAGGCTTGTATAATTAAAAAATGCAACTGAGCTGCTTAATGGGTAAGACAGTGTTTCCAGAAAAGATAAAGAAAGCTGAACATATACCATCACATTCATTTTGCTCTTTYTCACCCAATAAAACAAAAAAAAAGTATTGTTGTTTTCACCTTTGAGTCTAAATGCTAGCTGCATTTGTGTAAAATAAAAAGAATCAAATATAGCTGCAGGTAACCAATCTCTTCAATTTTACATATTTCAGACAACCTTTTATTGTGTTTTTAATATGAGAATATTTTACTTATTGCAAAGTATCCTGCATAATACAGGTGCTCCGCTATAAAATCTTCTCTCTTACTTGTAATTCAGTCATTCTAAATTTAAAATACCAGTATACAGTACTAAAACTTCCAATTGAAGTTTAGTATAAAAATATCAGCACAAAAGTCCTTTTAATGTCTGTTTATTGTGAGCAACCCAAATGCCTGTTTAATTATTAATTGTTTTAGTATAATAATAGACTTTGCACCCCTACAGTTGCTAATTGATACCATCTCAGGTATTTTGATGAGATACGAAATACTAAGTAAGAAAACAGTAAGTATTCAAATGGTTAATTTGCTTAGTAGAATAATAATAATAAATTAGTTTTTTGCATCTTCTTCAGTTCAAAATCCAGCTTTGAGACTGAGGAAGGCTTCACATCAATTAAATAAGAGTGGTCCTTTTAACCAGTAGCAGTTTGATTGCCAATGACTCGGAGAATCTCTTTATGAATGTTTGGTTCCTGTGTGTTTATACTTGTATCACCCACTTGACCATCTTCATAACTACAAAAAAAAATAAAAAAAGGTACAGAAAATAAAATCATATTAGTGTTTTATTAATCTACATAAAAAACATCAAAACCTCTCATTCTCAAAGTGCTTATTCCATATGTTAACATGTTTCCATTGAAGTGCTCTGCTATGCTTCATCTTTACATGCAGATCCTAAACTCTGGAGTGTGGATATCTGCCACCGTCACTGAAACCCTGAGGCTGAATAAGCCACTGAGACCCAAAGGGGACAAGGGTTAGCTGAGAGGGGGAAATGCTCACAGCACATACAGGAAGCCTTTAATGAATCCCCCAGCTTAAATACACACAGCCAAACAGAAATTATGTTTTATAATACATGGATAGACTTATTATAATATGAAGCAATGCCACTGAATGGGAAAAATCATTAACTCTCGGTTCATTTACACTAAAACAAGACATCTACTAAATCTCTKCCACTAGTTTGTCCAAGTATCTCCTGGCACAAGTAAGTACAGTGAAAGATAAAAAATGAAGCGATATTGAACAGAATCAGAAAGAATTAATTACAACTATTGGAGGGAATGTGAGAGAAAGGTCTAGTATGAAGTTGTATGTTAAGAAAGGCTTTGTACTCACACAAAGAAAAATCTTGTACACACGTGATCCGTATTGGGAACTACCCATATCTCCCCATGTTTGTGCAGATCGGGTGAGGTTATCACTATCAAGGAAAGAATAAATTTCATTGTGATGAAAACATGCCTGGAAAACATTGCTCTAAAAGATTTGGTGTTTTATACATTTTAAATAGGTCTTGGGAATGTGCAGTTTTCCCCTACAGGCCTGTGGTGCAGCACAGATTGTGAGTTGGCTGCCAGTAGAAACAGGGAGGTGAACTTGATTCTTGATTCCAAAACATACTTCTTTGAAAACACAGATGCTTAATGTATGGGAGCAAGTAGTTAAATGGAATGAAAGCTTAAAAAATGCATTTACTAAAAACYGAATTTAAAAACCCATAGGGCTGCTAAGGAGGATCTGAGACATCTAATCAGCCTTTGCAACAGATATTTGTGCTTGATGATGGTTGATCCAAAACCAGGATGTTTAAGACAAAGCTTAAAATTGTTATATGGCAAATTTGGGAAGTGCAATACTATCAAATATTTTAAAAAAGTAACCATAGCAATTATGACTCAARTGGGTCAAGTAGGTTGCCAAAACTTGCTCCATGTATTTGATGATAAGTTGTTTATCAGCAAAATAACACAGGAAAAAAGGGTTTTTTTATTGCTAACTAGAAGCTATACTATCAATCTGAATTTGATGAAAATATCCAAGTGTATTTCCAAAAATATCCAAAAGTGTATATCCAAAAGTGTATATCCAAAAGTGTATATCCAAAAGTGTATATCCAAATATCCAAGTGTATTTCCAAAAGTGTATATCCAAAACTATGAATTTGAAAAAATATCCAAGTGTATTTCACTTCTAGGCAAGTTATCCGGCTGCAGGCTGAGTGGGTTCATGGTGTGGTGGGTGAAGAACTGGCTGAAGGACTGAGCCCAAAGGGTTGCAGTGAATGGGGCAATGTCTGGGTGGTGACTGATCACACCACTGATGTTCCTCAGGGCTCTTCTCCATGGCCAGCTCTCTTCAGTGTATTTATCCCCCCTCTGGATGCAGCAGGTGGATGCTCTGTTGCCGAGTTTGCTGATGCAAACACTCAGAGGTGTTGAATTTCTGGAGAAACCAGAGGCCTTGCAGGGGGATYGAGATTGATTGGACTGAACAATCATCAGTGGGMCAAAATTTAACAAGTCCAAATGCTGGATTCTGCACCTGGGATAGAGTAACACTGGGATCAGGGATAAAGTGGGAGAGCAGAGGCTGGGCAGCTGCAGGAGGGATGTGGGGCTGGCTGGTGCTGGGCTCAGTGTGGGTCAGCAGTGCCCGAAGAGCCCCGAGGACAAACCCCATCCCAGAGCACTGAGCACGTCACACCCGGCCCAGAGAGGGGATGGTCCTGGATCCCACTGGGATCAGCAGTGCCTGGACAGCCTCAAGGACAAACCCCATCCCAGAGCACCGAGCACGGCACACCCGGGCCAGAGAGGGGATGGTCCTGGATCCCACTGGGATCAGCAGCCCCAAGGACAAATCCCATCCCATCCCATCCCATCCCATCCCATCCCAGAGCACCGAGCACATCACTTCCAACCCAGAGAGGTGATGATCCTGGATCCCACTGGGATCAGCAGTGCCTGGACAGCCCCAAAAACAAACCCCATYCCAGCGCACCGAGCACGGCACAACTGGCCCAGAGAGGGGATGGTCCTGAATCACACTGGATTCAGCAGTGCCTGGACAGCCCCAGAATTTTAAAATTGTAACATTTAGGAATTTTAGATTCCTAAACCCCATCCCAGAGCACAGTACTCCCRGCCCAGAGAGGGGATGATCCTGCTGGGCTCGGCCTTGGGGCGGCCTCAAGATGGGCCCTGCTGGGCCCTGCAGGTGGGGAAGGRTGGGAAGGTCCCTCAGAGGAGGGAAACAAAGCTGGTGGGAGGGCTGGAAAACAGGCCCTGGAGAGGAATGGAGGAGTTTGGTTTGTCTAGTTTGGAGAAGAGGCTGAGGGGTGCCCTCCCTGCTCCCTGCAGCTTCCTGAGGAGGGAAGGGCACGGTGAGGGGCTGAGCACCTCTCCTGGTCTGCGGTGACACCATGTGTGGGATGGCTCAAAGATGCACTGGGGAGGTTTAGACAGCACATTATGAAAGATTTCTTTACTGCGATGGTAGTATGCTGGGTTAGACTGGGGTAGAGTTAATTTCCTCCCCAGTGGCTGGTTTGGGATATATTTTGGATTTATGCTGAATGCAGGATTGATAATAGAGATATTTTAGTTATTGCTGAGCAGAGCTCACACAGAGCCAAGGCCTTTGCTGTGTCTYGTGCTGCCAGGCTGGGCTGGGGGTTGGGGTGTATGGGAGGGTGGGAGGAGGCACAGCCAGGACAGGTGACCCCAACTGACCACAGGGATATTCCAGACCATGCGACATCATGCTCAGCATACAAAATGGGGAAAAGAGGAGGAATGGGGGGTACATTTGGAGTGATGGGGTTTGTCTTCCCAAGTAATCTTTACGAGCAATGGGGCCCTGCTCTCCTGGAGGTGGCTGAACACCTTCCTGCCTGTGGGAAGCAATGAATTAATTTCTTGGTTTGCTTTGCTGGGGTGCATGGCTTTTGCTTTCCCTATAAAATGCCGTTGTCTCAACCCATGAGCTTTCTGGCTTCCACCCTTTTGACTCTCTCCCCAGTCCTTCTGATGGGGGAAAGTGTGAGTGGCTGCATGGGGCATGGCTGCTAGCTGGAGTTGAACCGTAACAAGTTGCCAGACCCTGGTTCAGCCTTCCTAAAGAGTGGTCAGTGCTCCCAATCTGTCAGTGTTTAAGAGGCACTTAGACAATGACCTTAATAACATGCTTTATCATTTGGGCAGCCCTGAGTTGGTCAGGATTGGAATTAGGTGACAGTGGTAGGCTCCTTACAACAGAAATAGCCTGGTTTATATTATTCTAACAGTACCATAAGTGTATGCATATTCAATTTGGATACCATTTCTTTCATGAATTGCAGTTTTTAACAAACATTTCTATCTTATAATTAATTTTACAGAAAATCTTTATTAACCATCTCCCCTAAATACTTCTCTACGCAGGAAAATGAAGTGAATATGAAAGCTGCAAAATGTCTTTTACCAAATATTTAAAATTCAGCCTTATAAAACTGCTAATCCATTAATAAGTGCTAGGAAAGAAAAACATGGATGAAAAAATCCTTGTCAAAGATGTAATTTATATTTTAAAATTCCGGCATTAAAGGCCAAGTAATTAATTTTGTTCCTTATGGAAGTTTAAGAACTAAATTTCTCTATTTTTCTGTAAAGTTCGAATTGCATTTTCATGTTGACTGACAGATCCTTATTATGTATAGCTGTAAGCTTCTATTTTGAAATAACACATTTTCCACCTTCTGTTTTAATTTTTATTGTTTAAACAAACAAATGCTCCACATGAAGGGCAAATTGCATTTAATAGAATTTCTAAGAGTAGTTCCCAACTACTGGAGCAATTCTTATTCAAATGTCACAATTCTTTGCTCTCAAAAACTGCTGACGTTTCATTAGTTAATAATAGAATAGCCAATTCTTTCAAGATTTTAACTTCACAAAATTTTTGAAGCAAACAAAGAGAACATACTGGTTGCCAGATGATCAGTATATTTGTCTGAATATATATATATTTGTCTGTGAAAATTGTTTGGTAGTTTGATAGGAAAGGTTTTGTTTTCTGACTTTTATGTGTTTAAAGCATTTGTTAAGAGCTTGCAAGAAGTCAGTGCTTCAAATAAAGGATATGACTTTGGTTCTCTTGATGGCTTAGGAATATGATTTGAAACACGACCCAATGATCAGTCACTATGTGTATATGATATTCTATGAAAATTCAGGTTTTGTTCGAAGAGGGGACATGTTCTTAACTGAAATATAAGGGCCAGCTGTTGAGAAGGTACTCATACACCTACCATTGTTTCTTACCTAAAAAAAACAACTAAAAGTCTCACTCATTTGCACCCTGTAACCTGTGCATCCTGTGGCCATGACTAGAACAGTTTCACRAGGGCTTCCAGCTTACCTTCACATAAGGCTATGCATTTTAAGTTACGGCTTTGCAAAAATTGTGACTGCTGTCCTTTCTTCTGTGACTGAGATGTAAAAAGTGAGAAAATAGGATTAGTGTAGTAAAACAAACTGAGTGAAAAAGCAACAAAGGAGACAGCTGCTATTTTCAGTCCTTTCTTAATGAACAAACATACAGGCAGTCTTTCTAAAATGTTTCTATTTTATTTCTAAATGTAATAGAGTTTATTAAAAAACTCTGATCACTTATTTGGATTATTTCAGCAGGGATTTAAACTCCCTTATCCACAAAAATAATACCCAAAAGTTCCTAATTATTACAGAATCAAAAATACCATCAAAAGATATCAGTGTTATTGATAAAAAAATTGGTAGGTTAAAAAAAAAAAAGAAAAAAAAAAGAAAAGAAAGGTTAATTTAGTCACTAGTTCCTTGGTCACTACCCTGATATTTTATTTGCCTTCCTACTTCTGAGATCTTTTGCTGGGGCATACCAATCCATCGTCAAAGCCAGATTAATCTGTAATTTTCTATGTGTTAATCATGGAAACATGTAAGATTTCTTTCTTGAAATTTAGCCCTRTGCAGAGATGCTGTAAGTTTGCTTTAGTACAGCAGAATTGTAATAGCTCAACATGCAAATCTGTACTTCATTTTCATTCTCTTCCTAAATTCTTCTGCTTGGAAAAGAAAAGCACAGGATCTGCAATATGCTCCATAAATTTTTGCTAAAGAACTAGGGTTGACTTTGACATTGAAAGTGTCTGAAGTTGTTGATTTCATTCCATGCAATAAAACTGGTAACTTGCACAAAGGGAATATCACCTCTCTTTCAATTACTAAGTTTCCATTAATAAAACCCACAAATCTTCCAGAGATGGCTGAGGTACCATACCTGTGATGTATTACTGCTCTTACTGCCTGAAGCTGGTTCATCTTTAGCTGACACCTTCTGCTGCTTCTTGTTCATCCCTAGGAATATTAATTAAATAATRTAAGATATCCTGGCCTATAAATATCATAAAAAGCAGAGTTAAGTATAAGAAAGGAAGAGGTARTACAGTGGGAATCACAGTCCTTTGCATGGCACTAAAAAGCAAGTTAACTTTGTAGCAGAATATCACAATATAAATCCTGTAAATTGCTAGTACTTCTGCATATCATGCAAACACTTTAGCAAAGTCAAGTTAGCATTTAGTAGATGCAAAAGCAGATACACCTGAGCTTAAATGCCACTGAWTTCAGGCCAGGAATGTTCTTAGGTAGTTGCTTAACAGAGTTCTAGCTCAGCACATCTTGAGTCTAATTGACCCTATTCAGGCTGAAGTAAAAGATGGATTAGCGTTGGTGGGACAGCAAAATCATGAGAGAAAGAACTTTAGGATAATGATCTTTAGCTCTTTATATAGACCTACATTAAAGATCTGATTATTTTTTATGTATGGGCAATTTAAGTTTTTAAATCTACCTTGGTTTGAACACTTTATCTGCATGCAAAACTATTAAATTATTTGTCAGTCACACTTGATCCAACCTCCAGCTCAGAAATTAAAACATCTACATTTGTGCCTTAGATCTCATTCATAACCCTCATGTTGGTTTACATAAAATTCCTGTGTTATATGATACCATGGGCTTCCTTGCATTTCCAGCATCCTGTACTTCATAGAATCATGGAATGGTTTGGGTATGAAGGGATCCTTAAGATCATATCATTCCAACCCCATTGCCACAGGTAAGGACACCTTTCMCTACACCAGSCTGTTCAGAGCCCCATCTAACCTGACCTTCAACACTCCCATTCCTTGACACTTTGCAAATACAGACTGAGTTATAGGGAAGTCTAATTCTTTGAAGGAACAGGATGTATAGGACTCCTTTGTGCTTTTTATTGACATCAAAGATTACACACTTCATGGGAACATGGGCCTCATTTCTGGAGGAAGCAAGATGGAAGGGACCAAGACAGACAGAGAGGAGCACTAACACATTGAAGACGATAAAGCAGAATGGTCCAAAAAAAAAGGCATTTTCTTTGATAATGACACTTCARCCAGCACTTTTAGTGAGTCCTAAGAAGCATTCCTACTCATGTAATCTCTGAAAAGCTAAAAGTGATCTAAAGATAACTGATGTTGAAGTTCCACAAATAGTAGCTCAAAAATGTTGAGTTCTTAAAACAAGGCCTAAAATCACCCAATATCAGAAAGCATAACTAAAACTCTCAGAATCATCTACATGCACACAAGCACACATTAAACTTTATATCTGCGCTTTCATATGTAGCCACATCACTAAAGCAAAAAGTCACCATATTTTAAAATCCCTTTGATTTCTCAACATACACATCCATGTGTCTTGTTTTCTGTTTGCGATTTAATTTGTATATGGAAAACTCCACAACAAATCACTTTAGGACTCACTAGTGGGAAAATTAAGTTACTTCACCTCCTCAGGCTAGAATAAAGTGTTGAACTGCACTTTCTGTGTAATCCTGACATGGTGATACTTGGTAAATATACAGGGTTAATATACTTGGTAAATATACAGGCATGTCTGTTGATGAATATTACTTTTGTTAGATCAGGTCATAAAAGACAATGAATTCATAGGTGAAGTTAGATGGACTTAGGAAGCTATAGACAAAAATCACGAAGTTGGACTTCAACTGAATCAAGACCTCCTCTACTACACAAAGCATTCAGTACTAGCTAATATTTACTTCAAGCAYAGTTTAAGAATTATAAGCACCTTGAAAAGTAAGGGCAGTATTTAACAAGGAAATTTTCTAGTATCTTATTATTTATACAAAAAAATTCTCTTTTTTGAATAAATTAAATCACAGTGRACAAAGATAAAATTGAATACAGTGTTTTAAACAGCGAAGTGTGTAAGAAAAGCAGTAGAATAAGATACACCCCTATATTTCTCCGACTTTAGAGTGATTTATAAATATCACCTGAGTAACCAAATGATATGCTTGACAATGGACTAAGGTAGATTCCACTTCCAAACATTGCACCATGGAGCTGAAAAAGAGCAGAACGATTATTCAGCAGGATTTTGGTTACCTGGACAAAATAATAACAGGAGCAGGTTGTAACGCATCTGCCACCATACTAATTTACTGACAGGTAATTAACAGTGTTCAAAGAAGTCTTTTGAAAAATCATGCCCTGAGTATAAACTAAAATATTGTGTATCTTGGAAACCATGTCCAAGTGCCCCAAAGTAATTTTACTTAAGATTTACATATAAAATTGTGGTTTCTCTTTTTAACTCTATTATTACTAKGGAAGATGCCCACAAAGGGTGCTTCTATACGTGACCAAATACACCCTGAGAGCTCTGGGGAGAGCTGTCAAAAAAACCACAATGCTAAAAAACTGCTTTAGAGCTCCCCAGCCCTTCTCATAGTGCCTACTTGCTCTGCAACAGCAATCTCCTGATGATTCAGTCAGAGACGTTTGCAGCAGATGCCTTCTGGCCAGCACACTCATGCTTGCATTCCCAAAGAAACCAGAGGAGCAGAGCAMGTGCTGCAAATCCAGTTTCTGTGAATCTAGCATATTTCTGGATCCTATGACATGGAGACAGCTCAGGCAGCGCTAACTTTTAAGCAGTACCAAGCGAAGCCTCCTGGAGGTGCTGCTCTGCAATGTAAAACTCGAACACTGATTCCAGCTAAGGGATTTCTAGACGTTTTATAAGACACATTCCTTCATCTTAACTGAGTCAGAAAAGTACTTTTTCCAGGAAACAAGAAGGCATTTGAAATCATCGCATTTCCCACCTATATGGCTACTGGAATGAAACCCCTTGAAAAACCGGCCAAAGCAAGTATGTAATCAAGCATGCATAGGTTAGCTAAAGTGTATTTTGTGTATTTACCTGCAGCCTCGTATTGGAAGCAACAACTAAGCCGTTCCTCAGGATGGAATGCCAATTTTCAATGTGTGAACCACTGAATCAAATGAAAAAAAAAAGCATTAAAATTCCCAGTGTAAAATACAAAATTACATCAGAAATCCTTTGAAACAGAAGATTCACAGCTGCAAAACTCAAATGCCAGAACCAAAAAATAGTSTGGCATTTCAATAACCATATATTATTATGAATATATGTACTCACTGAAATGCAAAGGTACTTCCGTAGAGATTTTTAGCAGCTCGGAAATTGGATTCTTTGGCTGGTGGACTGCTGAGAAGAAGGAACTGGTGGGGAGTGTGCATAAACTTCAGTTGCTGTAAAATATGAGTGCACGTGAGGAGAACTTCATTAATACGGAGGTGTTATATTTCTCTGATGATAATCCTTAAGATATGCTTTTCCACACAATACATGAGCGCATCTAAATAACTACATGCACTAAGCTGGAACTGGTATCACTTTCATAGTTTCCAGCTAAAATCAAATAGTTTCAGTTTATGAAACATACAGAAATTTTTGAAACTAGATTTCAGTTTAAAATGGCTGTAGCAATTAAATGGAACAATTATATCATGATATTCTGATGAGAGCTGAATTTGAATTAAGRTTATTTGGAAGGCTGCAGATTACTATACCCTTAATCAGAGGTTATGTGGCAGACATCCCTCTAAAATTCAAGAGTTTTACTCCTAAGGTGTACTTACATGTGGATCTTCTGTATGCACTGTTTCCTGTACAATTCTGCATCTAGTATTCTATATGGTAACAAAATAAAAAGTGATGTTCTTCTTACCTAATTTTAGATGACTACAAGGTAGCTTGTATTGGAGCTGCTCACCTCAATTAGGCTTTTTATGAACTTTATTCCCTTGACCTATTTCAGATATTCACATGATTCTAAAAATCATGACTGGAAACTGCTTATTTCAMTCCCTTGTCTATTAAAGAAGTCCATGCAATCAGTTTGAATGCAGACACCCACGTTTTGCTAGTGAACTCCCACCTAAAATGCTAATACAAGCCATAAAAAAGAGAAAATAATAGATAACCCACACTTACCCTATTCACTGGTAGCTTCACAATATGTGATCTATTACTAGAAATAACCCTAAAATAAGAAACATTAGAAAATTAGACATAGTAACCAAACTGAGCTTTTTAAAAATACGTTATGAATGGCCACCAAAAAGCACCCAGCTGCAGGCCTTTAAACCTATCAGACAGAAGTAGGCCAAGCCTTAACTAGAAAATGAGATCAGAGGACTCGGATGAGGTCCAGAAACAGTCCAGAACAGCTGCAGTTGAAAATATCAATGTTAACTCTTAGGGTGACCTTACACCAAATTACACCAGTCAAGTGTAATTCATTCATTACAAATGACTTTAATTATTATTATCTAATATGAATCAATTTTATACCATTGCAGAAGAGGATGTGCAAGCGGGTCTTGTTTATCCATCTGCTTCTTTATTTCCAAGTAAGGTGCCTAGAAAAGAGTAATTATGTTATTTCTAGGTTGAATTTTATATGTTTCATTGCCTATGATTTCATCTATTAAAATGAATACATGGGACTCATTATTAGGTTTAAATCACAGTTTTACTGATAGGCAGCATTGTAGAGTTATAAATGTGTTTTGACAACAAGAATTAATATAGCAATTTTTTTCCCTGGAGTAAAATAATAAGCATATAATTAGCATCAAAATGACTATATTATAGCAAACACTGGAGATCTCAGGGAGAACAGCAGAAGACATCTATTTTTGCTGAGCCCTTCATTAAGAAATTGGACTGGAACTTCACAAAATTTAGTCTCTCAAAGTAGCCCAAAATAATCCACTTCAGTATTTTTAACCATTTCAAGGTATAAGTACCGTATCATGTCATAATTTCTTTGAAAACCTTTCTTGATATAAATCAAGAAAGTGCAAAGCATCCCTTTAAAACTCATTAGTCCAAGAACTACTTTTACATTAAAAGTAAATGGTAATTATTTTATATTTTTAAAGACATCATAAGTAGTAACAGAAACACCTGATTTTTAATTTTTTTTCATTACATAAATTAACAAAAGAATGAGAATTTTAATTTTCAATTTATTTTTTTCCTCTCCATATATTCTCCATTCCAGAATCCCAAAGTATTTTGTGAATATATATAGAGCAAGATTTTAAAACTGTCACAAGGATACATTTATAGCAATTGGAAAAGCAAGATATACGGGAGGGATTTAAACAACCAGTTATAATCAACTGGTTTGTTTGGGAAAGGCATGTAACCAGAAACAGAAATACAGCCATCAGATATGCTGTGAGGAAACATATGACAGTATACCCAAGAGACCCAACCTTCCAAGTCCCCATCTATACTTAGTTGATTGAGAGTTTTGCTGCAATAGAAATAAATACCATACCACTCAGAATATCTTTCAAAACATTGGCAAAAAATCAATCTCTTTTACTTTGGAAGTAAAGGTCTCTGGCTTTGATATTTCCAGAAATACAGCATTACAATGTCCCATTCTGCTATTATTATCTCTTACGTAAACTTCAGAGAATCTGAGTTCTACTTATTTACTTTTRTTTGACTGCCATTAAGGATACTCTAGGTTTGTTATTTTGAACATGCATTTTAATGTTATTGCAGTTAAATAGGAAAGAGATGATATTATTAACTTACCCACCTATCMCAGGTAGGCAATATAAACATGTTTCAAGTTCTACAAACAATGATTAGGTTAGGTAAATATTTTTTAATTCACCTGTGTCATCTCTCTGATAGAGGTGATACTGTCCAATGCTTTCATGACTCGATCATAGTTCTTCTTCTGATGTAGCATAAAATAAATAAGTTCAAAGAATATTAGTCCTTGGCTCAACAAAAACTGAATTCTCTGAGTRTATATAAAACCAAAGCCAGGAGAAATGTTAGGCAAATTAATTCTTTCAAACATTTCTAACCATCAGCTTTCTTCCACCTTGCACACAGACTCTCATTCATCAAACAGAAAAAAATCCTTGAAAAAAATATTGCTACAATCTTTTTTTCTTTGAATTTCATTGGGATCTACAAACCACTCCAACAATCACCTAATTGTTAAACAAGTATTTGTAACTAAACACAAGTCCTGGCATGTAAACTGTTGTGTTTCCTGTGCTAACAGCTCTATAAAACTTCACAGGTCCTTCCGTGGCCCCTCTGCCTCACCCTGGTCTTTGCGGACCCACTACCAGACAGCTCCACCTGTTAACAGTCCATGCTTCATCCATGCCACATGAAATGTCACCCTCAGGAGCTCCATGGTCCCCCACCTTTGGGTCTTGCCAACATGCTACAAAACACCTCCACCTTTTCTGAGAAAGAATTACTGCTAGCTGGCCTTTGTTCAGAAAGAGTGAGATGGATCCCAGGGCAGGACATGCCAAGCTCTCATCTACGCCTTTGGGGAGATGGCTKAAGGGAGAGGTAATATTCACAGCTTTCATGAAAGACACCATTTGGAGCTGAAAGAGCAGGTAATGCAAGCACAGTCCTTTACTTCAAAATTGATGCTTGTACAAAATTCGACTATTATGTCAACATCTGATAAAATTATATATAAGGAAATAACTGCTTGCAGTGAGAAAATGAGATGACAGCAATGACACTTCTAAGAATGAAATGAAAACCCTGCCTTACGTGACCTACATTTCTCAAAGACAGTCTTTCTTTTTGCATCTACATCRAGAGAAAGACACTTAGAATACAAAATTTTGCATCTAGAGTTTGTCCCTTAGAAGAGTTTCTTGGCTATAGAATAACCTACAGTTTTTTTCACAGTTTAGGAATGGTTTTCTCCAATTTAGTGTTCCCACTGAAACCAAGCAGTGCTCCTCTACTCTTCCCCCTCCTCCTTCCCCTTTCACTCTGCTGTGGGMTAGAGAAGAGAATTGGGAGGCACAAAGCTATAGATCATGTGCRGAGAGAAGAACAATTTGGTGGAAACAGCAATGAGATAAGAAAACCAGCAACAAACTGCTGCTCCCTCGGCCAAGCAAAAAGGAAACCATTTTCCCTGGAAGAGACTCCCTTTTCCCTGCTTCCAGCAATGATGTAACAGAATAACCTCCTGATCTGAGCCATGCCCCATCCTGGCCAGTGTGTAAATATTAGAACCAGGACGYGTTTACACTCAAACACCTTCTCAAAGACAATTAATAGAAGCTGCAAAGTTTTGAAAACAGTCACACACTTGTGCTACATTGTACAGCTGTATCTCTTATAATAAAGGAGACTCCTCCATAAGATGTCTTTGCTTTAAAATATCATGTACGACTAAAACAAAGCACAAATGACATAATTAAAGGTAACGACTTACCCTGGGGTTAAAGGCCAGCATCTGAGGATCATTAGGATCAACTACAGAAGGATATGGCTCAAAAATGACAACTTTCCTAGGTGACTCTAATGCAGACCGACACATGGACACTAACAGATCAACCACCTGAGGATAAAGAAAGACATATTTATTATATGTTTATTCAAAATATATACTTTCATATTGTATTTTCCAGTCTGCTTTTTTTACACATTATAGATATACCATATTTTAYCATTACCTATATTGCCCAAACTGTTATCCACTGGAGATGGATTAGGACTAAACTTTTTCTACTGACCTCAAGTGGCCTTGGGTTCAGCCAGAGAATATTATTTCAGGTGCAAAAAAGTAGAACCAGGATCTCATCCTAAAGGCATTATACTATCAAATTGCTTGAAGYTGTACTTTCTCTTGTGCACCTGTGTTAATTCCTGTGTCAAATTTGTTCACTAAGGAAATAAAGTTGTGCTGGATCTGTGTATCTCTGTATAGACACGCCAGTGAAAATGTTGTTCAATAACAAGGAATGGTCCAATTTGTACCATTTCCTGCTCTTCTCCTGAAGACTGTAATCACAGAAACACTTGAAAACACTGCTTCTGCTAAGAATACTGCAGTGATCTAACAGTCTTTTGCACAGCTCACACAGGGGGATCCTCTTCTTTCCATCCTGTTGTAGGAAATGACAACACTTTGAACATCTACAATTATCACAATTTCTCCACAGGATCATGCATGTAGTGTGCACATAGACATGCATTTACAGGTGTGCACATAAGCACATACACCTAGATATAGATTCCCATGTAATGGCTTCAATATACATAATTCAGATGTTAAAAATAGAATTCAGCAGTAACAAACCTGAGAGAATGCAGCTTTCTAGCAGCTGTGAAATATAAATCCATCTTATAATGAAATCCAAAGCTGCTACATTAAAAAGTAGCTGCAGATTAATTAATTTCCACACATTTTTTTCTGTGCTTTCTGAAAACATTCCTGTGTGAAAACAGACCTTCCCATGAAAGAAAGGAAAAGCTGAGACAAGCTGTATTTAGTAGATATCCCTAGTTCCTCCCACAGCTCCACATGGATCAGAGTTCATCTCACAGCTCACACTCTTCTAGAAGATTTTATACATCTGCCATTGTATCTGATCATTTGGATGGAATAAAATTATGGTCCTTTAGAGAAGCAGAATGAAAATAAGAATAATGATGGAAAGGAAAAAGAACTGTGCTGTGGTGAGTCATATACTTGCCATTCTCCTCCTCTGCTCCTTCAGCATGAATGGGCAATTTTCTCCATCAGTTTTAATATATTCTTTTAGTTCCAGTTACTAAATATCTCACATATATTGAAAAACGAAATTACTTAAATAATGGTCTCTTCCCCAATGGTTTTCTGATTACTTTCCAGTTTATACTATCTGTATGTGTGATGAATGTTTCAAAATAGGGCATATGCAGTAGCATTTACAAAGGAGATCAGCAACCAGATCAGGCAGCAGATCTGCTGCTGTGTAAATGTATTACCATGAAATTGAGCATGAGTTCACCCTGCTTCTGAGAAGCATTTCTTAGTCTGCAGTCGCAAAACACTCCCGTGGAAGAGTTGTTTGAGTCCCCAGATCTCCTAATGCAGAGAATCGAAGTTGCCTTGCTTTATGATTTGCATAATGGGATGCTGCCTTAAAAGTGGCACAGTTCTACTCAGAACACCATCCCTAAGCCTTCCTTTAAACAAACTGTTGACTCCTAAATTGTTTCCAGTTCTGCTTTTTTTTTTACACCTGATTTCCCCCAAGATCATTGTTTTGAGTTGATGCAATGCAAAATAACAAACTGGGAGGTAAATCTAACAGAAATCTTGTAACACAGCCTTGCATATACATTCCTTGAGAATAGGAAGTGCTGTGGATCTAGCAGAACACTTTAAAACTGGGAATGAAATACTCCTCCTTAACTGGAGGTACTGAAGTAAATAAGCAAGGATTAAAATATTTGCATGAAAGACAAGACAATACTTGCTGATGACAATTCCACTTAYGACATCACTCCTTCAGACAGTGCCTTGCACTCTCCAGAGGCTCTTTACAGAGATTATGAGCTATCAAGAAATCAGATATCTAATTCTCAGCCATTCTGTCTACATGACTAATATAAGGCAACCCGAGTTCAGGCTGGAAAGTTTTATAAAGTACAATCACTTATTATTAAGGAGAAGCCATCAGATTATTTGGAGTTACAAAGTAGGGCTGTACACCTTAGGAAACTAGCTGAAAGCACAGAAGAAAAAAACAGGAGGAGATTTCTAATGATGGGAACCTGTATTTAGGCTCCTTGCTAGACAAAATGATTTGTAGGAGGATTAATCAGGCAAAATGTGAACACCTACCTTTTACTAGTCAGCCTAGGATTGCTAGGAGAGCCCTGCTGGAGAAATAACCACTGTGCTGACAGACTGTGCTGTGACTCACACTGTCCTAAACTAATGACARAAAGAGCTCCAATGGATCAAATTCTAGAACTGATGAATTCTTTCTGCAGACAGCAAAGTGAGGCTCAGCCAGATCCAATACAGTGAGCTGGCTGCAATGCTATCACTAAAGTGAAACTTGGCAGAATTTAGCCACCTAGGTCCAATGAGACAACAGGCAAAACCCCTTGTCCAACTCTTTTAAGCACTCTTAAGGTTGAAATCACTTCAGAATTCTACAGCAAARCTCTGTAAATATAGAGGCACTCCAAAGATCTAGAGCAAGTTCTGCAAGTGCCTGCAACAGTGACACCTACATAAAACACTGAGTGAGAGCCAACCAGGCCACCTCTCATCTACTTACTTAGCTCTATTTAAAGAAGTTTACACCTAATTCTTAAAAAAAAWTTGGAAAGAGATCTTCCAGCTGTTCAAGAAAGGTGCTATTATTAAACAGGACCTCATGGGAACTGCTTTCAGGGACAAGGGAGCAGATCAGAGCTGGCAGATCTTTAAGGATGTCCATGTGTAGGATATCAGGAAAGGAAAACAAAAAGTCAGCATGAATCACTCCAGACCTGCTGGTCAGACTAAAATGAAAGAAGGAAATCCACACGCAGTGRATGCAGGGATAGATGTTTTGGGAAGAATACAGGGACATTGCTTGCGTGTGTTAGGATGGGGTGAGGGAGGCCAAGACCCCACTGGAGCTCAACTTGACAAGTATAATAAATAATAATAAGATAAAGAATAATAAAGAGGCTTCTGAAAGCATGTGAGCCAGCAAAGGAAGGTCAAAGAAAGTGTACCCTCTCTGAACATGACAGGCAAAACGGTAACAGCAGACTGAGAAGACTGTCTTGGCAGTAATGAGAAGGCTGAGGAACTTGACAGCTCTTTCCCTGCCTTCACTGGCAGTCTCCCCTCCCCACACCTCTCAAGTGAAGGCTCAAGGCAGAAAGTAGGGAAGCAAAGTGCTTCCCACTGTCAGTAAAGGTTAGATTTGAGAGCCCCTGAGCAATGTGAGAYRTCTATGGGACCTGATAAGATGCATCCCATAATCTTGAGGGAACTGGCTAATAGAGTTGCCAAGCTACTTGCCATGCTAACTCAAAAGTCATGGTAGTCAGGTGAAGCCACAGATGAYTGGAAAGAGGGCAACATTGCACCCATTTTTAGAGTAGAAACGAAAGTACCCTGGAAACTACCAACCTGCCAGCCTCACCTCTGTGCCTGGGAAGGTCATAGATCAGATCCCCCTAGAAGCTGTGCTAAGGCACATAAAGAACAGGGAGGTGATTTGGGACAGCCAGCATGGCACGACAGTAGATCCTGCCTGACCAACCCAGTGGCCTTCCGTGGTGGAGTGACCACATCAGTGGAAAAGGGATGTCATTTATCTTCTGTAAGGCTTTTGAAACAGTCCCACCCAACATCTTTCTCTCAAAATCAGAGAGAGAAGAATTAGACGGATTGACAGTTCTGTGGATAAGGAACTGGTTAGATGGTTGCATCCAGATGGTAGAGGTCAATGTCTCAGTGTCCTGATGGGCACTGGTGATGAGTGATTATCCCCCAGGGGGCAATACAGGGAGCAGTGCTATTTAATGACAATATAGAGTGAGACTGGGTGCACTTTCAGTAAATTTGCAGATTATACAACCTTAGGGGTGCAGCTGATGTGCCTGAAGGATGGGAAAGAGGGACCTGTACAAGCTGGACAAGTGGGCCCATCGCATTAAATTCAACACAGACAAGGGCAACATGCTACACTTGGATCACGGTAACCCCTGGTACCAGCCCAGGCTGGGGATGAACAGACTGAGACCAGCCCTGCCCAGAAAGATTTGGGGGTGCTGGGGGTGAGAGCTGGACATGCCCCGGCCATGGCACTCMCAGCCCAGAGAGCCAAACGTGTCCTGGGCTGCACCCAGAGCACCGTGGGCAGCAGGGGAGGGAGGGGATTCTGCCCCTCTGCTCCGCTCTGCTGAGACCCAYCTGGAGCATCCAGCTCTGGGGTCCTCACAGAAGAAGGACATRSACCTGTTGAAGCAAGTCCAGAGAATGGCCATAAAAATGATGAGAAGGCTGGAATGAAGACAGGCTGATAGAGCTGGGGTTGTTCAGCCTGTAGAAGAGAAGGCTTTTGGGAGACGTTACTGCAGCCTTTCAGTACTTAGAGAGGGATGATAAGATGGGGAAAACCTTTTTAGCAAGACCTGCAGTGATAGGACCAGAGGTGAAGGTTTTAAAGAAGGGAGATACAGACTAGACATAAAGAAATTTTTTAGAGTGAGGATGGTGAAACACTGGCACATGGCAGATGCCCCATTCTTGGAGACATTCAAGGTTGAGTCAGACAGGGCTCTGAGCAACCTGATCTAGTTGAAGTTGTCCTGGCTCATGGCAGGGTCTAGGGCTACATGACCCTCACAGGTCCCTTCCAACTCAAACTATTCTGTGATTCTAGGACTCTAAATGTACATGTAATATGCCACTTAAGTGCCTTAATTAAAAAAAGAAAACAAACAATTCTCACAGGACTTCAGGCTGAGGAAGATATAGGGCTTCATCTGAACACCTCTTTCCAATTCTTATACCTGAACTGTTATCCCAACATTTGGTATCTAGATGTGGCAAATATATTTGTTAATTTCCAGTGACTATATTCACTACTACTAGTTAAAGTTAAATAAACTGAAGGTTTGCTCTTCCAAAAAACCCATATTGCTTACTATGCAGAAGCACATATTGGAGAAAAGAACACTTTTCCAAAGGACGTGTAAACATTTAACTTAGGATCTTAAGAGGATCTTGAACATAAGATCTTTTAACTTTTGTTTTTAATAAAATATTAGGTTAAATGGCAATTTGGAAGCATAGTTTAAAATAATGTAAGAAAACAGTGATATAGTTATAATTACATCAATAACTGAATTTAGAGTCAGGAAGCAAGCTTGTATTACATTCCTAATCCTTCAGCAGAAGAAAGAACCCTATGTAGCAATATCAGTAAGGGCTTTCCCACTGCTATTTAATGATTGAGACAACAGATGCTCAGTGGATCCCTGCATCCCAAGACCACGAACAGGAAGTGACTTATTAATTGCATGAGAGTAGTAATGGCTCATTAGGTGAAAATAAATGTGAATTATCTCCAAATTACAAAGGCTGCCTTTATTAACAACCCAGGTGACCTAATTGAATACAACAGGACACGAAAACACAGTTACTCTAATTACATGGAAGCAAAACAATGGAAACACCTCATTAGTACTGTTTGAATACATCACACATRAACCAGTGCATTTACAGCTATAACAGTGGACAAATAAATAATACTTACAAACAGTCCTCATACGGTGAACGCAAATCAAAACACATACTAGAAGAGACTGAGAAGTCTGAGTRAACTGCAGAAAGAAGACATGTATTACACACTAGCCAATCCTACCTGTGCGCCAGTTGCAATTTCATCAGCAGCTTCGTTCATCACTCCTAATGTTTGGAAAGCAAATACACAGAGCTCCCGTTCACAAACAGTGGGCTATACAAAGAAAGAAAGTTAATTTTTTTTTTGTTCTACTTTTGAGTTCTTGCTTTTAGCATGTCATACCTACAACAAAAGCCAAACACAATTCATTCTAATTCTTTTCTTCTTATTTTAACTGCAACATTAATTTTAAATAATTAATGCATATCAATTATTGAGGAAGATACATTAGAGAAACATTTTAATAACCTGAAGAGCAGGAGTCAAGAACTCTAAAACTCGTAAGTACTCAGGGAGGCTAAATTTAAAAGAAATCCCAGCACAGTTACAAAACCAAAATTACAGGCATAGTACCCAAATGTTCTTAAGACTATCTGAAAACTTCCTACATAATTAAACTTAATGGAGAACAAATCCAGAAACTAAAGGAAGGAGCTTTATTCTTTATAGTTTCTTATACTGCTGTTCAGAACACATATAAAAATCTTATTTGTAAGACAAATTTCTTGAAGAAGCTATTATAATTTTTGACAATTAAAAAAATCATTGGTAAACTGTGAAAAAATCCATTATATTTTTACAGCAAAACCACTGTATTTTGAAAGCTATTTATTTTGAGAAATAAAGGTACTTCCATTCTTTTTTTTTTTAGGTGTTATAAAAATAGTAAAAACCCCTTGCTGCTGAACCAGCTTTTGCCTCTTAAAAAATAATTCAACATGGCATCACAAATAAAGAACCTTAATCTAAACTGCACATTGAGTGAGAACTGAACATTTTGCCTTCATAAAGTAAACAAAGCAGAAAGAAAATGCAACACAGCTTTAGGTAAAGCAAATAAGCATGTMTTCATGGATTTCCTAATGGTTTATAATCCTTACAGAAACTCCATCTTATTTACTGAAAGATAATTAGCAGACCAACTTTTCAAAGGCTCAAGTAATATCACACTAGGAATTGTTATAAGCATTCAAAAGGAAAATAGCTGGAAAAAAAATTACAAGGAAGAAATACAAATTAAAACCTTCCTTAAAACTACCCAATAAACACAACCTTTTATGACAATGTTGAAAACAATCAAAACGACTTCCTGGATACTATTTATCTGAATGAATAGTATTAAATTGTAGCCCACTGAAAGTTAAATTTTTGTTTGCAATGCTGAAGTTTTGTAACCAAATATTCTGAGTCTAATAATCATGATAATCACTAAAGCATTTGTAGTAGTACGCTTTGAAGTTCAAGCCACTGCCTCTAGAAGGCATTTGCAGAAATGAAAAAATTAATTAAGCACACAAAGAAAACCTTAAATGGAGCTGAATTCTGTTTCAGGCAACAGCTTTGTCGGAAATAAGCAGACTGCTGTACATATAGTCACTTGTTTTGCAGCCCTTAAAACATTCATCTGCTGGATTTCAAAGATCCACAACCTCAATAAACATCTGAAATCTTTTGGACTGATACAGGCTCACATGGTTTGCTTTACAAGAGCTATCATCTTTCAAGTCYAATAGTGTCACCCATTTGATTTCGTTTATCAGCCATGTTACATTGCATTAGGCAGCAGATGAAGCCTAACATGATCAAATTCGCTGTGCCATGGCAAGCTGGACAAGATGTATCTATTATTGTCATTATTCTTGGGTTTTCCACATTTAGAAGATGGTTAAATCATTTGTTAGTCAGTGAAGCACGTTAACACTACCTCTGTAACTATCATAATCAACAGTGTACACAGACTTCCTTTATTTCAGAGCAAGGAATAACTCCAGAATAGCAGAGTAATCCAAGTTTGGCAATGTCTGTCATGAAGAAAACTTGCAAGAAAATACTTATTTTTGATATTTTGTTTACAGTCTCAGCAAAATAAGTTACCCTGAAACTTWATGATGGCAAAGGGAACACATGATTTGCCATTGTTTCTATTTTTCTTTTTCCTGCCCCTCTGTTATAATCCCAGAAATGTCTTGAGCATCTGGAAGAGGGATTTAGGAAAACAGTCATAGTACTTATGCTTGCCATTTGAAAGGCCCTTTTCTTTTCTTTTCTTTTCTTTTC